CCTAGTTGTTGTATTGTTCATGTAATCCTATCAACATAGAAATAGAATGTGTAGCATATAAACACACCACTAGCAGATTTCAATAAAATAACTTAAACAGTGGTACATTCGTCACACGATCTGGTGGTCCTATAGTTACTCTGAAGAGTCAAAGATCTACATTTTATAGGTCCCTAATAGTGATTATAAACATGATCATTACTTCGAAATTTAAGAATACTTAAATGAACAAAGTTGCGTAAACCATTAAATAGTAATTCTTTGTTTACTAAGTTCCAATCCACTCACAAACTACGTGGACGAAACATTTTCACTCCCGTGAGTAAAATAATTTCTTAAAATTTTCACTGATGTCAACTGAAATTTAACTTGTGATAATTATTTTGAAGAAACTTATGTGCTTGACTGAGTTAGTATTTGCCATATATTTTCACCTCAAACTTACTAATCACATATCCAAACACACACATACATAGACACACGTACACATCTTTTAATTATGATCTCTTTGGCCTATGTGATACAGTTCATTCAACCTTGATTGACCGATGTTTGATTTTTTGTCGAGGGTCATTAATAATTTAAAGGCTAACGGAAATAATGATGATGAACTAATCATCTATCTGAAGCTATTTGGCACAGTAAAAACTTTCACGCTGCCTAATTTTTCTATCCACTTGTGATTTTTTACAAATATGCCCCAAAGGCTCTACATATATGAATAAAGTATACCAATTGGCATGTAAACACATCCCTAAATCACATGTGTATGCAGGCGACGACTGAGTTGCATAATTCCACTTTGCCTACTAGAGGGAATTTTCATGATAGCTGAATATAAGAATTCCAAGTTTGCCTGTATAACAAGTGTGTGAATATTATACTGTAGACCAACCTAATTTGAAAACCTAACTCTTGTCAAGAAATTCAAATGAAGATCGACTAATAGTAGAAAAGACTCCTCATAATGGAACATCCTATTTTTGAATCATTGTAACAAGTGTCTAGAGTGATGGGAAAGAACAACTTCCTTCGATTCACTTCTAGTTCTCTTTTAGATCATTTAATACTAAACTTGGTCCTAACAATATTCACTTCTTTCTCTCATCACTTGTTTCGCTATGATCCAACAAAGTCGGATACTTAGTCAATGTAGATGTATCAAACTATATGTTTACTGATTCTGAGATAATCTAAAATAATATCGTTGATCTTCAAAAATCTCAACAATATTAAAAGTTTTAGCCATATTAAAACTGAAATTCAAAGTAACTGCACGTAATGACTGCCAATATCACATGTTTTCTAAAGTCACGAATTTTCCCATTCAATTTTACTATGGTCTCAGCAGCGCGAATCTCAGGAATTAACTAAATTTTCTGAGTGCATAGTAGTATTTTCTCATTCTCCATGATTAATTTAAGATCAGAGAATATTTCCTTTAAATATTGTTGTTCTTTATTTTGTTAAGGTTAAATCTAATGTTACATAGTTTAAAGCCTACTATATAGTCTTTCATTCTCAACCTTGGTAAATAGAATTGTGATACAATAACACTTTTTATCTCTTACACAATCTTATCGGAGCTCGCAAACTATTTTTGTTTCTGTTTTAATGACGCAGAATAATTCCACGACCATGTATTAATTTCATCACGATTATGTCATTTCCCAACTCCGCCTGTAGCCCTTCTAGGGTTACTACCGATCTCAAGCCCAGAAAGAAGAAGAGGGTTAGGCATAGGATCATAAACCCATTTCATACAAAACAATTCAAACCACTTAAAATCTGCTTTGTGAGTTGAGGGATCTTCTTTCAGAAGAATTATGAGGCCTTGTGGTGAAAGCCGATATTTTTCGGAAATGACAAGGCCAATGCACCTACTGACAACCAGAACAAAAATTAACATGGGTACACGGAATGTCCGGACAATGTGGGAGACTGACAGGATCATTTAAATAGCTGATGAAGACGTAATAGCACGGGTTGGCCAAGTAAGGGCAGAATTCCTGCAGTTGAAGATTATATGGAATTCAAAACAGCTGCCAACCAATATCAAAGTCACAATCTTTGGTACGAACGTCAAAATAGTTCTGAAGAACTGCCACAACCATCATCAAAATGGTACAAGTATTCACAAACAGGTGTCTACGTGAAATACTCAATGTCCATTAGCCGGATACCATCAGCAACAGCCTACTATGAGAGAAAACAGACCAGCTTCCAACTGAGGAGGGGATTAAGAACAGATGTTGGATGTGTATAGGACATAGAATTACAGAAATCATCAAACTGGATCACGAAGTAAGCGCTAGCTTGGAATCCTGAAGGGAGACAGAAAAGAGAAAGACTAAAGAAGACATTGAGTCGGGAATCGGATGCAGACATGAAAGCGATGAACAACAACTGGAAATAATTGCCCAGGACAGAGTTGAGTGGAGAATACTGGTGGGCGGTCTAGGCTCCTTCACGAGTGATAACAGGCTTAAGTAGGGAATTTCATATCTTTAATATGATTATTGGTCTATGTAACCTCACCTTCGCCACTTCGTACAACTAGTTTTTCCCAAAACATAAATAAACTATACGTCAACCTCAACACTATTTAATACTGTATCTTATTTCATTAGTACAATGATGATTTCTCAGTTCTATTTAGAACACTTATCTCGACTTTGCTAGAGTACATCAAACTTTTGTTTGTAATCATATAATTCTTCGTAACTGCAGACTGTTTATAGTTGATAAAAAGCCGTGAAATCAAATCCAGATTCATTTTATTTTGCGAAGTTCATCTTTACTTTGTTTAAGAAGACATATTATTCATTCAGACTAGAAGTCGCATAACAATATTCATTGTATTTCAAGCACTAATACTGAATATAATACGAACTACTGATGTAAATCCGTAGATATTCCACTCATATTTTTAAGTCCACTGAAAACTTTCTAAATAACTACAACTTATTTAGCTGGAAGAAGGCGGCAGGACCTGACAATATACCAGCAGAAGCACTTAAGTCAGACATTGAAATAACTGCAAACATGCTTCACCTTCTATTCAAAAAGATTTGGGAAGAGGAACAAGTGCCAACGGACTGGAAAGAAGGATATCTCATCAAGATACCAAAGAAAGGAGATCTGAGCAAATGCGAGAACTACAGAGGTATCAGTTTGTTATCAGTACCAGGAAAAGTTTTCAACAGAGTGCTGCTGAATCGGATGAAAGACGCAGTAGACGCCGAACTAAGAGATCATCAGGCTGGATTCCGTAAGGATCGGTCGTGCACAGACCAGATTGCGACACTACGGATCATCGTTGAACAATCAGTTGAGTGGAACTCATCACTATACGTCAACTTCATTGACTATGAGAAGGCGTTTGACAGCGTGGACAGGAGAACATTATGGAAAATTCTTCGACACTATGGAGTTCCTGAAAAGATTGTCAACATTATCCAAAACTCATACGATGGACTACAGTGCGAAGTCATGCATGGAGGACAGCTGACAGATGCATTTCCAGTAAGGACCGGAGTCAGACAAGGCTGTCTACTCTCCCCATTTCTCTTCCTTCTAGTGATTGACTGGATTATGAAGAATTCGATATCTGATGGGAAATACGGAATACAATGGACAGCTCAGAATCAATTAGATGATTTGGACTTCGCAGATGACCTAGCCCTCCTCTCTCATACACACGACCAAATGCAGATGAAGACCGCAAATGTAGCAGCAGCCTCCGCATCGATAGGCCTCCATATTCACAAAGGAAAAAGCAAGATTCTCAAATGCAACACGGAGAACACCAACCCAATCACACTTGACGGCGAAACTCTGGAAGAGGTGGAAACATTCAAGTACCTGGGGAGCATCGTTGATAAACAAGGAGGATCGGATGCAGATGTAAAGGCGAGGATTGGCAAAGCAAGGGCAGCATTTCTGCAATTGAAGAACATATGGAACTCAAAACAACTCTCAACCAATTTCAAGGTCAGAATCTTTAATACGAACGTCAAGGCAGTCCTACTGTATGGAGCTGAAACGTGGAGAACTACTACGACCATCATCAGGAAGGTACAAGTATTTATAAACAGTTGTCTACGCAAAATACTCAACATCCACTGGCCGGATACTATCAGCAACAGCGTTTTATGAGAGAGGACAAACCAGCTTCCAGCTGAAGAGGAAATTAGGAAAAGACGTTGGAAGTGGATCGGACATACATTAAGGAAATCATCAATGTGCATCACGACTCAATCCCTAACTTGGAATCCGGAAGGGAAGCGGAAAAGAGGAAGGCCAAAGAACACACTACTCCGGGAAATAGAAGCCGATATGAAAAGGCTGAATAGTAACTGGAAAGGAAGGCTCAGGACAGAGTTGGATGGAGAATGCTGGTGAGCGGCCTATGCTCCTCCACAAGGGGTAACAGGCGTAAGTAAGTAAGTAAGTATTTAGCTGGAAACATTCATACCAAATTATTGGTCAAAAAGTGGTCTCCTAGACAGGTTAAAATTTCTTAGACTTACCAGAAAAATGTGGATAATTTTCTTTTCGCTCGAATCGCCTAACTAGAATTCTGATGGTTTTTAAAACTTGTGTATAAATCACTTTCCGCAGCCAAGAAAGAACTTGTAGAATGTACACCTAGAGGTATCACCTGGTTATTCACTGGCTTAAGGTTAACGAGTATATTTTTCCAACTGTTTGGGAGTAATATCGTGACGAATGAAGTATTGGGAGAGAAAGAGGTTTTTAATACCCTTCAACTGCTTGATGAATATTATTCGTTTGTATTTAAATAGTAGAAGTCATCTAAAGTCAACTGGAGACCTACCTAAAATTCGATTATTCTGAGAAATCAGGTTATTTGGGGTAAACGAATCTAGTGACCTCATCCTTCAAATAGTTATCCAAAACGTGGATATCATCATTCATCTACAGAATGATATTATCATTCTCTGACTGAGTTTGAGACAAAACACCAGGTAGTTTTCGTTCACTACTACTGTGACTTTGATCTTGGGAACTCATATTAAAATTTATTTCTGAACAGTATTTACAATTTAGAGGGTAACAAAAAACTCGACAAAAATACGCATCCAAACAACAAAGAAACTAGTTTTTGTTTTATAAATCATATGAAAATAACTAGTCTGTAGATCATATTTACAAGCTCTTAGTTGATAGCAGTAGTTGATACTGGTTTTGGTTTTTAGTCATTTCAGTTATTTCTGCTCTATTCATGAATAGAACAACCATTTAGCACGTGATTGTAGACATGTTGAAGTCGTTGAGGTCGTGAATTGTTGTAATTACTGTTGGATGTTTGTGAGTTAGAAGATAGAGACACTACAGACGTGGATGACGAACAACAGTATGGAGTATTCGGCCAGTTGAGTAATAGGTTAGGTGAGTTTTTAAGACCACTTGCCGATTGTACTGAATCCATAAATGGTAAGTCATTATTTACACAGGGTTGAGTAAAATAATTTTCATTGGTAGGTAGGTATTTTAGTTTATTGTTGACATCAGAAAGTGATTTGAAATAAGTTGATGACTGATCGAGTTCATGTGGAATACTGTTCATATCCCACTGGTTATGACTGTCAATGGATAACAGTGGGTTCAACAAATGGGTGTAATTTCCTGATAAAATAGAAGAGTTGATCCTCTCTTGAGATAAGAATCTCGTTTCATTGAGTGTTTGAATATTATGATGATCAGTGTTAAATCCAAAGGGATGAGGTAATTTAGATGTGTCTTCATCATGCCGTTCACTTCCCGTAGTGGGAGTTGTCATGGATAGATTATTATTAAAGTCTGAGCTTAAAGACGTAATGTGGTATGGTGCGTTTTTTGCAAATCCATTGTTGGAAATTTTGTTCTTCTGCAAACTAAACAACGAGCAGGAAGTGAGATCATTTATATCACTGAATGAAGTTGACAGATTTTTATCAGGACAGTTTAAATAACAAGTTGCTGCAGCAGCAGCTGCAGCAACTTGGATATTCTTCCATGAAATTCTAGATTTATCTGAAGTTTCACCACCCTTTTGATCTAAGTCGCTATCACAATGATTTGAGTAGAATTCATTTGATAAACATGTGGAGTTACCTGAGTGTCCTGGAAGTGTTCCACCAACGGGTGATGACGTCAGCAATCCAGAGGAAGAAGTTGGCGAACAAGATGTGTGCATAGCTTGTGCAAGACCGGTGAAGTCGAATCTATATGCATATCTTTTTCCGTGTACTTTAGTCATAATATTTTTATCATAATAGTATCGTAGAGCACGACTCAGTTTATCGTAATTCATATTCGGCTTTGATTTTCTCTCACCCCATCGTCTTGCCACCTCGTCTGGATCGGTTAACTTGAATTCACCATCATTTCCTTCCCATGTGATGCAGGCTATATTTTGGCTATCTGCTAACAGTTCTAAAAGGAACTGCCATAGCTGGATCTGCCCAGAACCTGTGGTTAATGAAAACATGTAGACAGTCATTAGAGTTATATTTATGACAATAAAATGATATATGTAAAATGGCTTAAAATCATTTATTATATTTTTAACTCAACAGTTTTTTTTTTTCACATTTAGTTGTAGCAAGAAAGGTGTGTTGTTCTGTAATGTTTTCGAGAAGCTTATTTTAAAATGTTTGTCTTATGGGATTGTTAGGAAATGATTTGTAATAGCTAGTGAAGAAAAGTGAAGAAAAACCCTTCATAATATTTGAATTACAGAGCGTAGTAGTTGAGCTGTTTGTTTTAAAGAATCGACAAACCGACTTAAATGTTAAGGATTAATAAATTACTTATAGATTAATTATTTCATTATTCCTAAAACTTTTGTGGATGTTTTCAAGCATTGACTTTCTATCCAAAGATATCTGCCACAAGAGGAAACTATAATCAAGAAATATTGAAGTCTTAATTTATCAGTTCAGTCATAGTGCTAAAAATCCGCTATTTCGAGTCATAGATGCACTCTCTCAAATTAACCAGTAGTTAAAATCTTGATCAAATTCGAACAATTAGCAATGGGTCGCTTTATGGTAACTGTGAACGAGCCGAATGCCAAACAAGTTATTGCTTACTGCTGGTACTTAACTGGAGTCATACTACGCATGTTGCTGAGTAAAGAATCTTGATGTACTTATTACCTTTTAGTGATTCCGAGTTATATGATAGTTGATGGTTGTTGTAGACCATATCATCATCATCTACTTCTAATCTCAGATTTACTGCTTAAAGTGATAGTATACCGAACACTAAATCCAAATGCGGTTTTTCCTCTGAAGTGAACTGGTTTTAGAAGTTATTATTATTAATACATATTTTTAAATAGTTTACCGCCATTACCTGTCATAGTTAGTTATTCTTGAAGTATCGACGGTTTAATACATACTTGTAATAGTTAAACAACTAAAGAATTCATTCATATGATCAATCACTTAGAGGCTTATAACTCAAAATTACAAGTAGAAGATATAACAAGCATTAACACAAAGTTACTCATTTTAAATCAAAAGTCGTTTGGAAAAACATCCTTCATACTGTATGATTATTGCCAACTTAGTTTACACCTCAAACCCAAGGGTTTTAAAATGGCTATCTAGAATCCTATTTTAGTATTCAGACTCACAAATATGCTTTACATTATCACTTACCGCCGATTTTCAGTTTTATTCATTTGTCTAATTTATCCTTCCCATCGAATTACAAAAAATATTGATTAATAACCGTAAAATAATCATCGTAAAACTTTTTCAAGTGATTAGACGTTTAAGAGGAAAATCGATCTCATACCCTTAAGCTGATGATGATTTATAACCCTCAAAAATGTGGTTTATGCTTTCTTAAAATAAACTTAAAGCTGAATTCTAATTTTAAAAGTATAATAAATTAATTCATTAGAAAACTTTAATTGACCAATAAACACATATAAGTCATAAAATGTCAAAAAGAAAGTAGCTTGAATTTTATCCTCTCACTTGATGAGAAACTATTACTGTGTTTCTTCAAACCGACCACTTTCTTACTTGACCATAGGATTAAGTGTTTAAATAACAAAAATTATCCTACTTATTTGACAGTTTATCGAATAAAATATAACAATCCATAGTTCTCGAATACTTTCAAATTACCAAATGAACAGTGAAGATAGATAGACTTAGAGTAATTTTTGCTGTCATACCTAACATCAAGGCCAATCTTAATGTAAATTATACTCAGACGTTCCTAAAAAAGTTAGTTAAGGAGTAGATTTTTTGTTAGACTGTTGTGTTATAATTCCTTATTGGTCCGACACCAGTATGCTTGCATTATTGACTGTGGTATAACGGCCATCATAATGTCAATATTTTGAGTTTAACGAAGAAACTGGTTATTTAAAGTGATCTGTTTGTTTTAACTTTCAAATAGTGCTTACATTGGAGTTGAATATTGAGGGTGTCAAATAAACTTAGACGCAGACTGTTATACGTTTTAAGGTGGACGTGATAGATTAATTTTTTAAGGCGTTTGTAATCTTAATTAGAAAAATCTGGCTGAATATCCTAAACACTACCTACGAGAGACGTAATAACACTTAGCTCAAGTTTCTGAGTTCTAACGTGACTCATACATAATGAGGTAGGAATACTGAGATGAGCTGATGGAGTGAATGTTTAAAAGTTGAGAATCAGTATGTGATTACCCCTTATGTTCAAATTCAATAATTATTCCACACCTGTTAATCCCGAAATGTACAAACACCTGTCTGTTTCGAAATTTTATTGAAGATTTGAAAGTTTATTGTTCAAATAGTACTTACAACTCCAGATAAGGTACGTACACTGTCAAACATTCTTGCTCGAATTCGAATAATAAATTAGTTTTTTGAACCAAAGTATGTTCGAAATCTGGTGGAGCTAGATAATGTCTTCTTCCAGATTAGTTGTTTGTGGAGTCTTGAGCAAAGTGGAAAATGTCTCATTCATCAAGTGACAACAATTAGAAAGCAATCAGAAAACAGTTCACCATTTTTGACTTAAATCGAGCTTCTTCTTCGAGGATCATTTCAAACCGAGCTTATTTACTTTACGTATATGTAGCCTGCAGGTAACTAATTTGTGAATTACAAATTTTATGCTTCACATGAAACTATTCGAAGCCAGTTATTATTTCTTTGATTTTAACTATTGAAGACTGGCCTAGTTAGTTATAAGGGAAACCTACAAGCATTAGGTTGCAATGAATTTAATTTTTCGAATATGATTTCTGTCCTCATTAAATGTAGTAATCAAACTTTATTTTAAATCTAAAACCAAATTTTCTAAAATATGCCTATGTTGTAAGCCATGTCTTTTGGCATTTACTTATGATTTCTAATAAAACAGGGTCATACCATCTGTTGACTGACTGGAATCTATGCTCATAAATAAACAATTTTTATGTGTACATGTGCGTAAACTAAATCAATAAATCTTTTTGTATTCGCCTCGTTAATATCAACATGAAAACAAGTTAGTAGCATCATATATATATATATATATATATATATATATATATATATATATGACCATAATTTATGGAGAGAAGCAGGAATTTATATAAATGTTTTACCTTTCTTTATAACTTTTAATCTATCTACAAATAACAATGAAAGGAAAAATATGAGGAAAAATTATCAACCAGAGGGAAAGTTAAAATAATCTAGACAACATTTTCTAAAGAAATCTTAGTTATAATAGTAATTATAATTTCGATTTAGATGGAAGTTTCGCGAAATTCATGTAAATCTTCAGCTCAAAAACCAAACAGAATCTTAGTCAATATGAAGTTTATTTCTTCCTTTCACTCTTCTTCACACACATTCACGCAAATAAAACTTAAAACAGGGAACGGGGGTATTAATAACAGCAGTCAGTACTCACAAAAATTTTTGTTTTAAATAATCAGTGTTGTTTAGACTTTTATGACAGAAGTAGTTATATATATGTATGATACGTTTGGATGTGATAAGAATTTGTCAGCGTCAGAAATATTGATTAATTCCATTTACTATATCATCCAACAAAATAAATGAATAACATGGAAGGATAGAACAAGATTATAAAAGATAAAGGAAAACTGTGTTCTAGTTATTGCAGATAAATGTTTGAAACTGAAAAAGACCATACGTTTTCTCTAAACATTTTTATCATGCTTTCATTTGTTCACTCAAATTAAAGCCGATAAAGCTACAAATTTGTGTAGGCTTCAGAAGAAAACTATCTTTTCCTTCCATCAAACTCTGATTTGCATACATGATCTGTGATTTCTTTCAGTTTAATGTTTTCTTTGAGATGAGATAGTGGTTGGAGGTAGCTGATAGGAAACTGTGGACCTAGGTTTCGTCCTCTTTGGCACTCGTCGGCAAGGTGTATCTGTAGTCTTGAGGTAACTGATTTAAGTAAATGATTCTCCTTAACGGATTCGACCCCTTGTCTATCTGCGCTAAGAAAGACCTGACATACATGACACTGATCACTATCCAGTGATCAATTAATTGTAAGTGTTCTTTTTAGATACAATTCACTAAATTCCAATCATGAGTTATTTGCTTCGACAGTTAGTTCGGTGGATTTCCGAGCTAAAAATATCTGGTGATACTTTTAATGGTGAACGTGTTTCTATGCACAGATATAACACCATGGTGTTGAGTTTCGCAGCTAAAAGTACTTCAAATCTTATATTGTTCAATCCACTCTGACAAGGTTGTGGGCACACACTTCTAAGGAGCCTATTTACTGAGACTGTACGACCATCAAATGCTTTCTAGCTTTAAATGGTATCTCAATTGAAATCGATCCGTGACGACTTTCACCCCACAAACTGCGATTACCTCCATAAAACACTTTTTTCTAAAGTTTAGACCGAATTAAAAAGTAAACTATTTATTTTTAAAACCATTCTAAAACCACCACACTTTTATGGCAGACTAATTTATGACAAGATGTTCTTGCATTATGGAAATAACTTCTTATCAGACGGGTGTTATGTTTCCAAGAACTGACTACATAATCTCTGTAATACTGTAGCAGTGGTTTCTCAAATCTATACGTATGTGATAACTTCTATTTGTTGCAATCTATCGTCCATAAGGTCTTTTCTCCAGAATTAGCACTTTGCTATATTCTAATGAGAAAAGAAACACAATATAATGAGAACTTACTACTCACTAAAGTCTTTCAATAATATTAATGCTAGTTAACTGAACTATTCGGTAGTGCGAAACAAATTTCAGATGAACTACATTACTGTTGGCATTATTCAAATATAAAGATGAAAATATCAAATTGTTCGGGAGTAGAATATACAAGATTAAAACAATCATCAACATAATACTAATAGAAATATCCAGAAAGGTGATAACCTGTGTAAATCCGTAAACTCGTGTATTAATCACAGTGACATATTTTTAGTTTCAAAGGAAGAAATGCCGAATAAAATTCGTAGTTAGTTATTAACTAACTAATTACTCAACCAATGAATTCATCCTAATGCCTGGTAAATTGTGCCGTCATCAAAAAGGCATTGAACTGCAAACCACTTGTAGATATCGGCATCTTCAAAAATGTAGATTGTAGTGGTATTGCTCTTAACCACACAATCCTCAAAGCTCATCATGAGATAACTGGGAAAACGCATATTCAACAACTAACACATAGAGGTCAACAATGGAGAAGGCTGGAATATTCGTTCGAGATCCAATCGGATGGCATGGCTCAGCCTTGCAGGCGTGGTCATTCTTGTGTAACCTATCCATTTTATTTATATTAAATATATTGTTTTATTTCCAGCCTAAATGTGTTCTCCATCATATATTGGTGATCATACTGTAGGACGAGTCAGTGTAGACAATGATGTGACTTCCACGTAAGATCTTATAGATTAGGTAATCACATCATAACAAATCTACAATTTTAGGATTAGGTCTATTATAAGAACAGTACAAATAACGATGTAGACCATAATTCTACAAGATACATAACTACAGAACCTGTGTCCAGGGTGTTTTTAGGTCAAACACAGTAACTAAAAGAATAGACCATTTTATTTTGGTGTAAGACTTAAACATTTTTCCCGGTCTTGTATTATCTAAAAAGGTTCCTTATGACTACAGAACACCAAAACTTGACATTTTAAAGTTTCAATTTCGATATTTTCTTGGAAAATAATCAACAAAATTGTATATAGTTATTGTATAATTTAAATTATGAAAGTCATAACTAAGTTACCAGTCAACTCATAATATAAAAACAATTGGACTCAAGTTATTGGAAATCTAATCCTAAACCCGTTTTTCTAATCCTTACAGCGATCCATTAAGTTTAAAAATGTGATTACTATGGATAACTAATGATAAGTAAAAAGTAAAATCAGTTTGTTCTGTTTTTAATAAACTTTTATCAATAAATAATCCCCACTTTCCCCATACAAGTAATATTAACATAAACCAATGATGACGTCGGAGTTAAATCAGTTAGTATTGAGACTTTTAATAATTGGAATTGAAACTACCTAATGCTTAACGTTATTTAATTAGTTTCTATGTGAATAAAAGCATGAGCGCGTCTTGTGAATTTTAAAATACAGCTTCTAATTTCCTAAGTAAATTACACAGTCACAGAAATAAAATTATCAGGCACTTATACACTAAATGTAGAGAAGTTTAGTATATGATTGAGAAAAATGTGTCATTACTATATGATAATACTGGAGCAAAGTAACGAAAATGCCTAGTTTTAAATGAAATATAATATTATTGGATTGTCATTGAAATAATGAACTAATCGATGTTAGACCACCATTGAAAGTCTGGAAGCACTGTACGGCCATTTCGTCTTAGCACGAGACTCCTCAGAAGTGCGCGCCCTCATGTCCACACACGGGATCCGAACTCAGGACCTCCGGTCTCGCATGAGAACGCCTAACATCTAGACCACTGAACCGGCATACGGCGGTGTTAAGTTTCAACTTCACCCAGTCCATGATATCACACGACTATGTTCCATTATATTCGGTAGGTAACCGCCTCATGCCCAGAATGAGTAATGTGTGCAATATTTGCATTCTATGTTAATTAGCAACTATGTTAATTTGACACATGTACTGAATTTCTACAGTACAAGTTACTCATAAACTACAGAATTCATTTTGTTATTTTCATCTGTCATGTAGCTAATGTAACTCACCGCTGATTTATATGGCTTGTTTTTATTGTTCACCTTATTTGTTTATCGAGAGCTCTTTCTCCTATATGATAAGGTTTAGAAAAATAGTACGAATTTAAAAGATTATTGGCGAATAACAACACAAAAATATCTATGAAAAAATTGGTCAGATCTAATAATACTCACCCTGAGATCTCGATTTCATCCCATGATTTAAGCAAGTGGACTTGTCCAGTGTTGAATTTAAACATGACTCTGTATTCAAATCATTTGGAAAAGGTGGAATGTAAAATGAATTAACTGGAAAAAAGTAAGCACAAAAACCAAAACAATAAAATGCTTTTTTTCCCAAGAAATCCCTAATAGTGTTCACCAAAACTATTATAATTATTTTGAGCGGAATTTTTAAAAGTTGGCAATCAATATTTTGAATACAGTTTATGTATATTGAAATCTCCAAGTATATGAATAATAGTTTTGTATGGAATCTCAACTAACTAAGTAATCATTTTAGTAACTTATTTATCAACCAAATCTTCATTTTAACGATTATTATATTCTCATTCTAGCACCGTGAGAAACTTCATCATTCTTGAACAATGAATTATATTAAAGAATATAGTCATCTACCAAATCTAGGAATGAAACAGCTTTTACCTATCAAGATCAGATTGTTCCAGATTGACAATGATGACTGAAATGTAATATAATTGAAAATGAATAATTACATTTTGTTTAACGAATTCAGGATTTCTTTGTCTATTGAATTCCATTGGAAATAGGAGATGTTCGCCTTGTCTTTATTTATACCTCCTCTTAGTAATCAACTCTACGCTGCCAGTCTATTCAACAAAATATACTAACCTTCAAACCACCGAATTCCTTTCTCACCTGTGAGATTTTTTATTCCCAACTAACCCATAATATGTTATCTTCCGGAAGTAGACAACTTTAAATGATTCAGTAAATCCAAAACATTCTTCATTAAATTAAATACCACTCTGGAAGAAAGAGACCCTGTAGAAAATCTCATATTAATTTTAATTTAAAAAACTAATAATCGATTAGTGTAATTCGAAACTCAGGTGAGAGAAAAGACAAAGTTTACATAATTGATTTTTTATTAACCACACATCATCATCTGTTTTTTTTAAAAAGGAAAAATCAGGATTTAGTTTTTATGTAAATGAGATAAGGAACATACCCACTAGGATTGAGCCGTGCACACGTGCTAACACATTAATGCTTATTGACACAAACTCACACACACAACTGTTTTTTTTAAAAATATAACTCTAACTCTACGTGAATAAAAACACAGAAGTAAGCCATTAATTTTAATAACTATAGTGATTCTGTTTCCCCTAGTTTTTAGTTGGTTTATGGAGATTTTGAATTATAAGGATTGTTTGTTTTTTTTAAAATAAAAATAGATATTTATATCGTATTTAAATATGAGGATTGTTCTCGTATACCAGTTAAATTAGAGAGGTATTGATTCGCTTGTGGTTAATCATAACTTCAATTTGTTTAGAGAAGAAGGAAACCATCGGCTTCTATTATCGACCAAAGACTACAGATACGGTTGATTCTATCAACCGACTCTATACCAGAAATTGATTATGCTAGTCAGTATAAATATATATATAGTCATTTCAATGTTGTAAGAGTGTAATGGTTAATAATGGATTTATCTATTTTAAAATAAAACTAGTTTAGTGATGAGTAGATTGAATATGATAAATCAGTTATTCGTAATTACAATTATTATTTAGAATATTTCCTGAATGGTGACTTCTTACTTTGAAACTGTTAGCACTACTTACATATTTTCCCTATAAATATTCAGAATAATTAATCAATGCTAGGAACTGAGAAACCAATCTGAGAGAAGTTAAAATAAAAGTGGAGATTATTGCCCAGGACATGTATAGTGTTTACAAAAACAAAAGGTAGAAATCAACTGAAATTAATGTATTGTATGCAACTGAACGATAAAATTAATTTATCAACGTGTTTAGCGTAAATATCCATCTTAATGATAATGTCCCTGAGTTCTAATTGAATGAAACATTAGCTACAGTCATTATTGTATTGGTGAAATGATAGCTATTTCAATGTGCTTACCTGTTTTTACACTTAAGAGGCAAATAATATCTAATGCTAACTTTAAAATATCGCTATTTTTATGTAGGGTAAAAGTGATGGCTGCAAGAACGAATAATGATATACAATCAAAAAATATATTTGGCTCAAGGATTAGTATTCACTTGGTGTTGTTTACTTGTATCTTCCCATTTTTATTAGGACTGCAATTTATGCTCCATGTTTGCTTATAATGCTTCTGAATTAAGGCTATATCGAAGCAATACGCACAGTGTGCAGACTGATCAATTGCAGTCCTAAACGTCAATCGAAAGATTCGACCAAACAATACCGAGTGAATTTAACCGTCACCCCATCGCACAAGCAAGTAGCTATCAGGACTCAGTAGCTAAGTGAATAACGCGATGGCATTTGAAGCGAACGATACCGGGTTCGAGTCCCAGAGTGAACATCAACTCTGAGATGCAAGTACATTCAGCTGACAAGTCCCAAATGGGACGAAATGGCGTCCTGGATTCCACTGCTAGCCACTATCCATCAAGGATTAATAGTTGTTCACCAAGGAGATAGTTAAATGACACATCAGTTAGTTCTTAATAAATAACTAGATGCAACAGTAGAACGACAGAAACCCGATTAATTTCCAGTTGTTGATATTTTTATCTAAGTTCTCACAAGCCCGCTTTGATTAGTGGTAAATGTATCAGTTGAATGATTGCACTAAACAGTTTGTCTGGCAGTGATTTGTTAATTAAACACATATCTAACTTCATTCTATCATGATAACAACTGACTGGGATAATGTATATGTTTATACTGATGGCTTATTTAAAGTACAAAAAATCCAGAAAACGGTCAGATTATATGTAAGCAAGTAGTCTAATTGATATAATCGACTTACAGATTTTGGATTCATAATTTCCAGTGCACCAATTAATTTCATTCATATTTCTATGGTCATTTGAGTTATGTCTATACATATAGTCCTCGGACAGCATTGATGGGTACACATATTGTGTTTTGCTAGTGAATTCTGGGTTAAGATGCAGATTAGTTGTCTTGTTATTGATTCCTATTAGGTAACCACTGTTGTTATCAGTTGGAGTATTGTGTGAATTCCCAAACGTTGATGTTCCATCCTCTAAATTTATTTTTCTATAATCATTATTACTCAAAGAATTTGCAGAGCCGATTTCTGTTGTTATATTATTAGTATTGATTAATTTGTTCTGAGTCTGGTTCAAATTACTTTCAGTTGTATAAACTGTATCCATTGATTTAAAGAGAGACATTTCTTCTTCAGTTGACATATTATTAGGATGAAGAGATGTAAGACCGTTTTTTATACTATCAACAACAATTCTTGGCTTTCCTAAGAACTCATTTGTTGACGATTTGTAGGCGGAATGATGATAAACATCAAAGCTATCCATAAGTTGATTGGTTCCTGATAAGCTGCGTAGTGGTAATTCGTCATGGACATTTGATTCAAGTTTATTCAGACTACTCGTCTGATCTGTACACATCCAATCAGTAGCATCTGCAAATTTTTTGAAATTGCTTCCATTTTTGAAAACTTTATCTATAAAGTATCAGATGTAATGTTGAAGAAAAAGGAGATTTTCAATTTAGTATTAATTGATAGTTCTTTTTACGTCAAATAACAAGAATATTTAAACAAACTTCTATTATTATTATTATTATTATTATTATTATTATTATTATTATTAGCTTTATTCAATATTATATTATTTGGTACAAAATCGAATTCTCAGCATAAAGTATTTCAACATGTTTATGTTTCTTATTTCTTCGTTGCTCCTGATGATAAACATTCAGTGATCGCCAGTTGGATGTCAGCAGTTTAGTCAATCGACATATGAATAATGTATATTCTTTTTGCTGCATGTTCCCAGCAAACACGACATCTCTGATTAGGCCTTTTGTAACCTTTACAGCGAAAGGTTGTACAGTTTTCAGAAACGCACCGGAATATGTTGTGTGCTTAATAGCCATAATGATGTATTAAAACAAACGATATTATATAACTTGTTGAAATATATAGATGACGGGAAACAGGTAGCCCAGATATTTAAGCAGGCCGCCCACTTTTTCTGAAATCGGGGAATACTGGAAAATTTATGCTTTCCGTTTTGGGACCTTTGAGTAGTTAGAATATCCAACTGTTTCCATAAACATACTGTAATTAGATATAACTCATATATACTTAATGGTGTAAATTTCCGAATATTGATTGGAGGATATGTATCAAAACTGCACTGAGACGATAACAGTTAAGTTTTACTTTAGCATGGTTGGGAGGAACTTCATAGATAGACAAAAAGCCTTATAAGGATCAAAATGAAATCGCAACATCCTTGGTCGTATCTAAAATATTAAGTTTTGGTGGTGTATGGACCATGAAAAAACCATTGTCGTAACTTGGGATAGTGAAACGTAAGAATACGAGCATTGGAACTACAGTTTCGGATTATGCGTTCTAAGATAGAGATTAGGAAGTAAGAGTAATTAAAATTGTAGAATACTATGAGTTTACTATTCGTTACTTCCTCTTCAATTAATTACGAGCTATCGGAAAATGAATCATTAGAGGCAAATACATGTTGACTAAATTGTCCATTGGTTAGTAATCTCTCTCATATCTCAGCAGAGGTGTTTCATACGTATTAATGAACTAAGATAGTTATCTCAAAGGAAATCCGAAACATTATTTTACTAGTTTAATTAACATCACAGATTTCATTTTATAGGCATCCTCTTGTAGACTAAAACATCCTACAGTAAACTTGTCCGAAATTAGGTAACTATAAGGTTGATCCTATGAAAAATAATGAAAAAGTACGGATAAAAATACTATCATGTAATATTTGTCTGTCCTAGTTTGCTTGAAAGTAGGCATTCAACACTCTCTGATTTGAAGATATTGTTCAATTGCCATCAATTTGTGGCGAAAACAGCAATTGTACAGAATTGATTAGATTATTGAAGAAAATTAATTCAAACTACAGGAAAAAATTGTTCATTTTTAATAAAAAATCCTTCTTGAACGAAGCATTAATTATGTTAACAAGTGTCAGTAACAATCTTTGGGAACCTTTTTCTTTCATTCTTGAATGTGGCAAAATGAGTAGATCTATTCTGAACAGAATATAGGAAAACTATCATGTATCAGGTATACCCCCTGACCAAATCAAATATCAACGGAATGTCCTTAACTGTCTGTTTAGAAGTTAATCTTATCAAATGTTTGAATACTATTTTTTTATAATCCCGTTATCTCTCTTGGTTTCTTCAAAATCTGAATAGTGTCTTACAGTGAAATACGTGGAGGATAAATAACACAACAAAAACAGTTCCAAAAAATCTCAAAATGCTAATATCATTTATTAGTTGAAGATGCCAGGCATCCTTGTACACTGCTCTATCATTCTTATTGCACTAATCAGTCTTTTACATATTAACTGACTTTCAAATACCTGTAGATATAAATAAATTTAACCGAACCTAATCACCTTACTTTACTATAGCATATAATTTATAAAATATCAAAAGTGCTCACCGGAAAACATTGCAGATGACGGGAAATTCATGAATTTATTATACTCAATAGTGTTTCCTCTTTCAACGGATTGTATATGGACGTTATCGTTAGGAATATTTATATATGTATTGATAATTGTATATCTTATTAGTAGTACAAAAAATGTGAGAGAAGAAATGACGAACAGACAGGGATGGATGAGTAGATAGGGATAGGAAACAGAACTAGATTATTGTCATGCTTTACATTAAAGTTATATTTACACCACTATTTTGTGACAACGGATGTGATGCTCATCTTCATTGAGTGAGATTAAGTAGTGTTGAAATGAGATTAATAGACTAAGGGAAAAACTCATATTTATTGCACTAGTATCAGGAAAAAGCCAACAATAATAAACCACCTAGAAGAAAACGTTTATTTCTCTTCCAATTAAAAGGGTGAATTTGGTAACGTTCTAATAATAATCTGATTAGAAAATTTATCAGGTACACGGAGAACAGCAACACGCTCACTAATATATACATACAAAGTAGTGAAAAATCCGTCCCCTCTCACCTAAACAATTAAGTAGATGTAGATAGCAAAATGTATGAAAAATATCCTCTATAATTTCTATCTCATATTTGATTGGTTAACAAACTGTAAGTGAATTGCTGTTTCTTTTTGCTACCCATTCTCCCTATTTAACTTCTGGTCGCTGATTTTGTGTTGATTAAAATGTATTTAATAAATAGATTGTTCTCTTTAGGCGATAATTGTTCAATATCAGATCGATACAAACAACTACAGAATCAAAATATATCTTTAGAATAATTAATATTGGTATATAATTCCCATTTAAACATTAAAAATAAAACACGGAGTTCAGCGAAGTGATCTCTTTTCAACGAATTTATTATCAAACTGTACAATCGTATATATATGAAAATGTTTTATTAAAGTACTAATTCCGTGAGGAAATGTGAACACTAATAACCAAGATTATAATAAGATGATTAGAATGAATAAAATGTTTTGGTTACAATAATTAAAGGTCATAGAGCCGTAAAAATAAATGAGGTGATATGATAAATGTTCATGAATAAAATAATGAGAACATAAGACATAAGTAAAGGGGTAATGCAGTAATAAAAATAATAATAATAATAGAATGATACTAATAATAATATTAAGGCCATGGTAACGATAATGATGAGACGTACTTCTTTTGTACGCATAGTTCTGGTTTGAGCTCATGGATGGTAAGAGCTTCGGCTATTTTTAAGAGTTTGATCCGAAGAAATCTGGGTAGATTTGAATGAACCATATAAACAACCTTAAAATCAGACTGTGGATCCGTAGAATGATTACAGTCGATTAGGTGTTCAAGTATAGAGCTCTTAACTACTTTCTTTTCACCTTTGTAGAACCAAACCGGGATATGTTCTCGTATCCGAGTTGAAAGCGAGCGCTGACTACGGCCGATGTACCTTGCTCCACAAGAGCAGGTGAACTGGTAGATGCACATAGAGGTGACCAGACGCAGAAGCTTATCTTTGATGGATACAGAAAATAAGTTCTTGCTCGTGAAGGTGATTCGTAGTTTAGCAGCATTAAAAGTCCTTTTTATCGTTGTTGTTAAACGATTTTTAATAACGTCTGATGTTCGATCACCTTTAAATTCCAGACTTATATAAAGGTTTTTCTTCGGCACTGAATAACTAGGTTTCCTGTTGACGCTACTTCTATTCATATTTTTCTCTATGAACCGGTCTGGGTAGCCGTTTTTCATCAAAGTTTTCTTAAGGAACGCGAGTTCTTCGTTAATGCATTCCGTACTACATATTCGATGTATACGATAACATAAAGTATGAATCACATTTCTCTTTCTGCTTAACGGAACCCAGCTATAGAAGTTAGTTAGTTGGCCATTCCATGTTAGCTTTCTAAAAATGAATCTTTTTAAAGAACCATTATTTCTTCTTACTAGACGTACATCGAGAAAAGGGATTGATTGGTCGCGTTCCCTTTCTAATGTGAACTCTATGGAAGGGTGACATGAATTAAAAGAGTGTAAGATATCATTTAAATCAATATTATCGTCACAAACGACAAATGTGTCGTCCATGTATCTTACGCATAGGTGGAATTGATTTATCATTGAATTGAGTTGGTCGTTTTCTAGTTTTGCCATGAAGCAGTCTGCTAGAATTGGGCCTAATGGAGACCCCATTACAATCCCATCTCTTTGTCTATATATTTCATTGTTGAAACTGAACTGGACATTAAAGGTACAACGTAACAATAATTCTTTTAAGTGTTCAGTTGGAATACCTAGATCTATGTTGTTAGAGTCAATATACTCACAAATATAACATATCGTTTCCGTTAACGGTACACTAGTGAATAAAGAATTAACATCAAGCGAGAACATGTGTTTCCCGGAAGTACTAACATCCTTAATACGATCAATAAATTGAAAAGTATCATGAATAGAATATTTAGATACTTGCCTTCTAACTGGTTCCAATTTTTCAGCTAACCATTGGGCTATTCGGTGGTATGGTGAGCTTGACATATCTAAAATAGGTCGTAATTGTAAACCTGCTTTATGAACTTTCGGTAGTCCGTATAAGCGTGGGATGATTGAACCCATTGGACGAATGTGATCATATAAATCCTGGGTAATTATCTCTTTAGTTTTAAGGTTTTTAATAACATCCGTTAGCTGTTTTTCAATCTGCAGTGTTTCGTCACTTTCTCTTTTAGGTTTAGAGAATTTAGTGGCATCGTTTAAGATTAATCTCATTTTTTCCAAATATTCTTGGCGGTCATGTCATCCCATTTTAATTAGCTTTTTACTCATTGTTCACTAGTCAAATATTGGTCTGAGAACTAAGATCAAGACAACTACGATAGAATAACACAGCTAACAGAAAGAGATCTAATAGACTACTCACAAATAAATTATTAAGTTTACAACACGATAATCGATATATTTCCAGGTTAGTCAGTGGGCTTGTAACTAAGAATGAGTATAGTGAAATTCATAAACAGTATCACTAGATGACAAGTTTTATTGTAACAAGAGAGTTTGAAACTTACAGGAACATATAAATATATTGAGATAAGATGGCGATTGGAGGTGGTCAACAGGAAACCCTGACCCTGGGTTTCGTGCTACTTGGCACTCGTCAGCAAGGTTTACCTGTAATCTTGAGGGAACTCGTGCTCCCTGACGGATTCGATCCCGTGTCACTCAGCTTCACAGTCAGAGACGTTACCACTGAACATTCGATCAACAATAAGAAGGACTTGACACACATGACATTGATCACCACCCCGTGATCAATCAATTGTGATTACATCTCAGTCCTATAGGAGGTCGGTCGCGGCCCGGATAGCTCAGTGGTAACGTCTCTGACTGTGAAGCTGAGTGACACGGGATCGAATCCGTCAGGGAGCACGAGTTCCCTCAAGTTTACAGGTAAACCTTGCTGACGAGTGCCAAGTAGCACGAAACCCAGGGTCAGGGTTTCCTGTTGACCACCTCCAATCACCATCTTATCTCAATATATAGTCCACGCAGAGTCGAACCACCTAGACTAGTGGCCACATTGCAACTTGATCGATAGCATTCGATCGGCACTAACAAGGACTTGACACGCATGACGTTAATCACCACCCAGTGATCATTCAATTGTGAAATATAAATATATTATTAGAATGTAGTTTACGTTAGACAGTTATTGAAGATAGTCCGGGGCGCGATCTGTTTTCAAGCTGAATAATCTCCATAAACATCCGATTGGTTTTATAATTTCAGACGGATTATATCATTTAGAATCAAAATGGGGATTTTACAGGTAAATGACTGAATCCATGAAAGCAAACACTACCAAAAGCGGAAACACTGTTATTCGTTTCTTAAGAAACGTAAAGATACAGAAACTAGTGTATTTTTGTCTTGTATAACTGAAAAATAATGACACATATTACTGTATACTACGATACTCCAGCGTATATTCAATGGAAATCCTGTTGTTGAACAAAGCAAGTTGTGACACGAGAAAACTTAAACCTGATCAACTAACGGTATGAAAAATATTTATCCTCAGTTTCTTTTAGGAAGTCATTTATGAATAATGTGATACAGTCATTAAATTGACTTATAATAAAGTAAAATTTAACAATGGTTTTTCCCCCGTCATCAAACCTCCCATACACTACAAATTATTTATGTATTTTAGTTACACAGTCTGAAACAAGAAGATAAAGAATGTCTTTGACATAGTTTGCGTTTTATTTACTAATTAAAAGATAATGAATGTTGTAATCATTTTCTACTTAATCTTGAAATCGAAGTATCATGAAATTACTATGTCCTTGAAAAACGAGATTAATCCAGAACACTGGTTCCTTTTCACTCCCATGAAAAGTTTTCTGAATTAACGTTACCAATTATAAAAGGTTCAGTGTGATTATGATCATATGCTCACTAGTGACTGGCTCCATGACGTAATTCCTGGAGTTCTAGTGAGAAGTCGTGGCCAGTGGAGCTAATCCATGTCAGGTAGAGACAGGTATCTACCTTAGTACAATGGAAGTTGTTCGCACAATTTCGTGGATCGGTAGAGGTTAGACATTAACACCGTTGGATGCCGGCCCAGTGGTCCATCGGTTAGGTGCTCTGGCGTGAGACTGGTAGGTCCTGGGTTCGAATCCCGCAAGGCGGGATCGTGGATGCGCACCGCTGAGGAGTCCCACAGTGGGACGAAACGGCCGTCCAGTGCTTCCAGATTTTCCATGGTAGTCTAGCTCCAATTGACTCATTATCTTAACTGCATAATTATGACTTTTTTATTGTTTCCCGTTAATCTCAGAATGAAAAAAATGCATTTCTTTAATGATATTCATGTTCAGATTTAAAAGCAATCCTATTTTTTTTACTGTTATTTTTGTCTAAATTTATGTACCTGGTTTTCTTCTCCTAAGCTGATGGTTATAAGTATGTTTTAATGGATCTGGAATCATCTTTCTTTATATTATTCATCCTTAAACATGATAATCCAGTACTTCTACAAAGTAAAATAC